CCCAATGTCTATCACCCAGCCACCCCATCTCTCCCACCCCCCACCACTCCAGCAACCCTCAGTTTGTTTCCTGAGATTAAGAATTCCTCATATCAGTGAGATCATATGACACTTGTCTTTCTCTGATTGAGTTATTTCGCTTAGCATAATACCCTCTAGTTCCATTCATGTTGTTGCAAATGGCAAGATTTCTTTTTTTTTTTTTGATGGCTGCATAATATTCCGTTGTATATGTGGTATATATATACCACATCTTCTTTATCCATTCATCTGTCGATGGACATCTTGGCTCTTTCCATAGTTTGGCTATTGTGGACATTGCTGCAATAAACACTGGGGTGCACGTACCCCTTCAGATCACTACATTTATATCTTTGGGGTAAATATCCAGTAGGCAATTGCTGGGTTGTAAGATAGCTCTATTTTCAACTTTTTGAGGAACCCCCATACTGTTTTCCAGAGTGTCAGGCCTTGCTTTTTGAGGACCCAAGCAAAGATACCACCTTTTCCCCAATGTCCTTGTTTCCAATAAGTCATATCGATTCCAACTTCTAAAGAACTCTTCAGTCTATTCTTTCATCAACATCTCCATTGCCACCACCCTTAGGCAAGCTCCATCAGTTCCTCCTGGATTGTCACCTCAGCCTCCTAACTGGTCTCCAGGCCTGATTCCCTACAAGCTATTCCCCACTCTCTAGCCTGACACACAGAGCTTAATGTTAGTTGCGAGAGTGAGTGAATATGTGAATAGATGGTGTCACAGGGTGCTGCATATTGTAACCGAGCTACTTTGGAATGTTGACATAAGAGTTTTTTTCTAGAAATTTTTAGAGTATGTGTGAGTTGGGGTGGGGAGGGGCTGAGGGAGAGGGAGAGAGAGAATCTTAAGCAGGCTCCATGCCCAGCATGGAGCCCGACGTGGGGCTGGATTCCACAACCTCGAGATCATGACCTGAGTGGAAGTCAAGAGTGGGACAATTAACTGACTAAGCCTCCCAGGCACCCCTCTTTGTAGAATTTTTTAACATTTGACACTCAATCTTCCCCTCTGGGAGGGATCACGCATTAGTGGGCCAGCTGGTTACCTCATAGACAGAGGCTCAAGGGCTTCAACATAGGAGACTAGAAGTGGAAATTTTTTTCTTTTTAAATTGAATTTTAGTTGAAGTTCCCTTTCTTCCTTCCTTCCTTTCTTTCCCTCTTTCCCTCTTTACTTCTTCCTTCCTAAAAGATTTTATTTATTTATTTGACAGAGAGAGACGCAGCGAGAGAGGGAACAGAAGCAGGGGGAGTGGGAGAGGGAGAAGCAGGCCTCCTACTGATCAGGGAGCCCGATGTGGGGCTCGATCCCAGGACCCTGGGATCATGACCTGAGCTGAAGGCAGACGCTTAATGGCTGAGCCACCCAGGCGCCCCTTTTTCTTCCTTCCTTCCTTCCTTCCTTCCTTCTTTCTTCCTTTGTTTCTTTGTTCATTTGTTTTTTTTCTTTCCTAGATTGGGCTGCCCAACACAGCATTTTTATTCTTCTCTGCTGTTCTACTTCTAAGAGTTCATGGGGTTTTAAGTTAAGTGAATAGTAGTAGATGTGGAGAGCTTAGAGCTGTGCGGGGTACATATTAGGGACAAAATAAGTTTTAGTTATTAGCATTATAATCCTATTATGGATTTTTTCCTCCTATTTCCTTTCTCCCATTTCCTGAGGGTTAAAATAGTTTAAAAATATTTAATTCAAAATTGAGTAAATTCCATTTTCTGAATGTAGCTCTCCTAGGAAACAAAATATAGTAGAGATCTAAGTGGTCATCATCCTAAAATTGGCACTGTCCAGTTGAGTTACTTAGTTTCTGTGCAATATGTTTTTGTGGATATAAAATGCAATTTAAACCTCAAGATTCTAGAATTAATATTCAATTTAGAAAAGTTAAAAAGGAAAAATAAAACTAGTTTTCCTTAAGCCTTCAAGTTCAAATTATAATTCTTATTTTAAAAATAAATGTAATCAATCCAGGGAGGTATTTGATTATAATTTGCTTGAGTAGCTGAACAGACCAAATTCCTTAAAACAGTCTGTGCTATTAACATCTCAATTTTTAAAATTCCCTTGAACATTTTAAACTGCATTTATAAATTGAGTGTATCTGATTATTTAAAGCACTTCTACTGCCCAACCTGCCCACCAAAGGCTTCCCAGCTCTAAAAAAGCTAATTAAGTTAATGAACATGGTCCATCTCAAGCTAATCCTATAAATTCCAGTTTTGCTTACAAACTTTGCATAATTCTCTTTATCTTTCAACTGAAAATCTAAGTCTAAAATAAATGACTGAGTTATACATTTCAAACTAGAATCAAAGGCCAAATCTATCAAATTTCCCTAAAATCTCTTAAACACTTCAAATACTTCAAATATAAAATGTATACAGATCATTCCTAAATGCATGAACGAACTATTAGTAGCATGGTTTGGTTTATTTCATCATCTCTATGTTTAATTCTAAACCTCCAGAGTAGACAGATAGCTTTTATCATCTCGAGCAACTTGGTGTTGCTTTTGGCCAAAAGTTTTGGCTGGGATACAGTTATAAGGTCTGAATGCCTGTCTGGGCACCAAAGGAGATGCTGAGCACCTTGTTTAAGAGCCACAGTGATAACAAGGGACTCCTTGTCTGTGCCCTACACACGGGGCTGTTTTCACAGCTGACCTTCCAGTTTCCAATTAGATCATTATCCAATTCTTTCTTCTGATTTGAGCCTGCAGCTCTGGGTAGTTTACCTGTTGATAGATATTAATGAATCTATTTACCACTGATTAACTTGAAAATTAAAAAAAAATTACCTTTCATGTTTGAATATTGGTCATAATCCTAAAGATATTTATACTATCAGGTACACTCTTGTCATTTATGGGAAAGGAAAAGGGGGAAAAGGATATATTGAACATAATTTAGTAAAACTTAGGTGCTATACACAGGTCATTATATTTGTATTTATTATTCTATTTAATCTTTTTCACAGTTGTATGATATAGGCAGGCGCGGTTATTTCCATTTGATAGAAGGGAAACTGAGGCTCAGAAAATTAAGTAGCTATTAAGTCACAAAGCCGGCATTTGAGCCTAGTTCTGATTCCATAACCTGAAGTCTGTGCTCTGTGGGGAACTTCATGTAAGCCTCCTGAGATTTCTAGCTAGAAAACAAGTCTGGCCACACATGCAGAAGGTTCTTGGGGTTGTATTTCTTGAAAATTATTTTTCCTGCTATCTTTTTTGTAACAAAACCGTCATGAATAGTTTGGGGTCATGGCTGTGAGTTGAACGTTTGACACTCGCTCTTCCCTCTGGGAGCGATCACACATTAGTGGGCCAACTGGTGACCTCATAGGCAGAGGCCAGAGGGCTTTGAGATAGGAGACTAGAATTCTTCTTTTTTTAATTGAAGTACAGTTGAAGCTTGCTTGCTTGCTTGTTTGCTTGCTTTCTTCCCTTCCGCTCACTTCCCTTCCCTCCTCTTTTCTCCCCCAGCCCCTACCTATTCCCTTCGCTTCCCTTCCTTCTTTCCATTTGGAAATAATTTCAAGCTTATAGAATAGTTACAAGAATAGATTAAAAAAAACCATTATTATTCCCTTCACCCAGATCCACCAATTGTTAATATTCTATCATTCTCTGAACTATTTAAGAGTGTGTTGCATACATCATACTTCTTTACTCCTAAACACTTCAAGTGTATATTCCCTAAGAATAAGGATATTCGTTTACACAACCACAGTTCAAATATCAGATCAGGAAGTTTTGCAATTGATATAATGCTGTTGTCTAATCTGCAGATCTTATTCCCATTTCACCAATTGTGTCCCTTTTAACAATTTTGCTTTTCTGGCCTACAATCCAATATGGGATTAAGTATTACGTTTACTTACCTGGCTTTTTAGCTTGCATAGTCTGGAATTTAGTTTGCATAGTCTGGATTCCTGGGCTTTCTCTGCCTTTCATGTCATTGACATTTTTTTTTTTTTTTTTGAAGTGTACAGGTCATATATTTTCCAGAATACTTCTCAATATGGATTTGTCTAATGTTCCCTCATGATTAGATTTAGGTTATGCCTTTTTGGCAGGAATCCTACCTAAGTGCTACTGTGTCCTTCGCAGTGCATTCTATGAGGAGGCATTCTGTGTCAGTTTGACCCATTATTGATGATGTTAATTTTGATCACTTGGTTAAGGTGGTGTCTGCCAGATTTCTTTCCTGCAAATTTTCTACTTTCCTCTTTTTAATTAATAATTTGTAGTGAGATGTTTTGAGATTTTGTAAATAAACCATTTCTCATCAAACTTTTATCTACTAGCTTTATCATTCATTAATGACCTTCTCTGAATCAATTAATACTATATAGCTGCAAAACGCTGATTTTCTAACTCCATCATTTTTTCTACATTTATGAGTTGGCATGTTGTGGTTAGGGAGCACTTACTGGTGTCATTAATTATAAGTATGGACTAACGGGTTCTTATTTTTGTTCAGTGTGTTATTGTTCATTACTATAATTATTAATTTTGATGCTCAAACTCTCTCAGATGTACCTAGTGGATGCACCTTTTAAGCTGGTTCTTGTGTTCCTTTGACATGTCTCATCATTTTTTGAGCACTTGTTTACTTTCTGACACAAGATAGTGGAGACTCATCTTGTACTTTTTCTGTCTGAGCCCTGGAATCACTTGTTTCTCCAGGGAGCCCTGGTTCCTTTTAGTGGGGAATGGTTTCTAGAAACCCAGATTTGGATGCTACCGGCCCTTTCAGCAGACAGACCTAAGAAACAGACACACACATCTATTTCTGTGTGTGTGTGTGTGTGTGTGTATATATAAAACTATAAATTCATACTGTACCCATTCATATATACACAAATAAGCATATTTATTTCTATATTTATATATGCACTAAAAACTATAAATTCATACTGAATCCAATTTCAATCCAACAACACAGGATTCTTTAAAGCCTACCTCCTCCATATTTGTATGTCTTCTCCGAAAGCAAGAAACCTGGTTCCCCACATTCTCAAAATATTTATTCATTTACTCCATCCTACAACAGACAGAAAATAATTTCAGAATTATGCACCCATACCACTGAGAAAAATGTGTATACTAAAGTGGAGTTCAGTTTTGGTAGCTGTTTTAGCCTTTAGATCAAGGTTATATAAGCAAAGCATTGTGTTCAAGTTATTTGGCTTAATTTATTTTTCTTCAGTGTGCTTAGGTTATTTGTTTAAAATATAGTAAGACTCTTCTGTTTCTGTTTGTATCCCATTTTAGATTTTTCATCCACCTCCATTCTTGTTGCTTTAATTTTATGTTTTTGAGTAAATAAAACAGTAATATACTTCCAAGAGCCAAAATGATACCTGAAAAAGATATTCCAAGAATGTGTAGTGCTCTTTTATCCCTTTATACCCTGTTTTTACCCTCTGGATAACCAAACTCATTAATTTCTCATTTGTTCTTGCTGTGTTTCTTTTTGCGAAAATATGTAGTGAATATACATATTCTTATTTCACCTTTATTTTCTTACACGAAAGGTAACATACCACCTATACTCTTTGTACTTCACTTTTTTTAAACCTAAATCTATATTCTGTATATCACTCCTATCATTTCATAGAGATATTCCTTATTCCTTTTTATAGCTATACAGGACTCCATTGAATGGATGCGCTACACCTTATTCAACTGCTTATTTTTGCTGTTATATCTGTTCATTATGGTAGAGGTACAGTTTCAGGGTAAAATCATAAATGGGGGATTGCTGGGTCAAAAGGTAAACATACGTGTAGTTTAGTTAGGTATTGCCAAATTCCCTTCTATAAGTGTGCGCCATTTTGCATTTCCACTAGTAATCTATGAGAGCGACAATTTCCCCAGTGTCTTGCCAGCAGAATGTTTCGTCAAGGCTTTTAAGTTTTGACAACCTGGTAAGAACAAAAAGCTATTGCAGCATTGTTTTAATTTGTATTTCTCTTATTATTTTGAAGTTGAACAATTTCTAAATGTTTATGGCTGTTTTTTGTCCTTTTGGGTAAATGGTTGATATCTTTATGTGATTTTTAGTCATTTATTCTTCAGTTTCTCAGAGTTTTCTGGATATTGGGAGCATTAGGTTGATATCCCTAACATAGAAAGATCTCTCCATCTCTATCACTCTTCCTATCTCTATCTTTATTTCTATCTATTTGTTTGTTTGTTTGTTTACTTATTTACTTCAGTAGGCTCCATGCCCAATATGTAGCCCAGTGTAGGACTTGAACTCACGACCCTGAGATCAAGACCTGAGCTGAGAGCAAAAGTTGGGTGCTTAACTGACTGAGTCACCCAGGTGCCCCAATTTCTATCTACTTTTTTTAACGGACATAATTCTTGGGGCACCTGGCTGGCTCAGTTGGTAGAGCAGGTGACTCTTGATCTTGGGGTTGTAGGTTCAAGTGCCACATTGGGTATAGGGATTACTTAAACATAAAATCTTTACAAAATAAAATAAAAGATATAATTCTCTCTCTTTCATACCTTTGTGATATATTTGTATAGTAACATTGTTTTAGAGACTCTTAATGACAAACAAATGTCTTTGCTTAGATAACTGTCGATGAGCAGAGGCCCTGGGAAGAGGATAGAAAATCACATTCACCTTCAACCAGCAGTTAAGGGACAATACCTATTGGAAAGGAAGGAACGATGTGAGACCAAGGCATATTCCTGGAACACAGACCGGAAACCCCTTCAGAGGTCAGACAGTGATCTGTAGAGGAGTTTGAGTGTTCAGCAGCAGTTTGTCACTGTGTCTGAATCTCCAGGTTGTCACAGGCCTTGTCTTAGGGAAGGACTAAAAGAAGTGAGGTCGCAAGATTTTGGGCCCGTGTCAGCAGCCGGGATCCATGTGTGTGCATCTGGTAAGAGATGGTTATGTCAGAGAACCAAAGAATTCGAGGCCTGTAGGAGAACTTACAGATCACTGGGACTCAGAAACAAACTAGCACTATTTCAGAGGCAGGGAACAGGCCCAGAGGTAAGCAGCTTGCCCAAAGTCACACACTTAGCTATCATCAGCGCTACATACTGTGACTTCGAACTAATAGGACTCTTCAAAGGTAATCCATGTTGAAACATCTACATTCAGATGATTTTCATATTTTAAAGGTGTCATCCTGGTTAGTTGCATACTTCATTCTAGCAACTGCCATGGCCAGAACTTTACAGAGTCTCTAATCGAAGGAGAGCTGAAAATTTGCTTTGGCTGGTCTGTGCATTCATTCTTTCATTTTAATAATACTGACACATTCTGATTTCTATTTTAGGCTTGAGTCTGACACATACTCTTCTGTCAGCAGAGGTTTTTTGTTTCGTTTTTTTAAAATAGATCTCAGTGTAAATAATTAGGTTGGTTTTCTTTAGTTACATTCTTGTTTTAAGGATACACCCTAATTAATTTAATTGGACTCCTGTGTTTCCTCAGTCTCTTATACAACCCATTTCTATCTAGATTAATCTAATCCATTATGTTAGTGGCTCCCAAACTGATAATCACCGAGGGCGCTTATTAGACATACATATTCAAGCCCACCATGACCTCCCGAACCAGACTCTTCATGTGACTGGAAATCTGAAATTTTAACAATTTAAGAAGGATGCAGATTCTGGAAAATGATGATTCTGTGTTAGTTTTGGGAGTTTAACTCTCAGCTGGCAGCTTTACCCCAAATCCCCTTACATGTGGATTATCCCTAGGTTCTGAGGGCAATGCCAATAAAAACTTGTAGTCTATGGCAGAATCACTGGAAGAAATATACAGCTTCCTAGCACAGGTGATTCATCAACACGTAGGGGGCTACTTTGAGAGGGAGAGAGCTCCTCTGGGTGATGAGGTACGCGCATGCCAAGTCACAGTCCTTTACAGTGACAGCCATTCTTCAGGAAATGCAGGAGGCAACGGGTAGTCGTTCTTCATCCATTACAGAATTGGATGACAAAGGCAGTCATTCCTTCAGTCATCGAGACCTGTTGACCAGAGCACTTGATCAGGCACCAGAGCTGGTTCACTGACACCAAGAACACTGGTGCTTTTGTGAGCAGACTGTCACCCCGGCTGGGGCTGCTTATCATCCCACTTGTCTTACATCACTACCGCTGGGGCTATCTGTTTCAGCTCTCACAAATTCACTCTTTTGATTTCTGTCTCTTATCTTAGGACATCTTGCTCTTCCTACTTTAACACTTAAAATTTATTTTATTTTTAAAGATTTTATTTATTTGAGAGAGAGAAAATGCCGTGAGCATGAGTGGGGGGGCGGTGGTCAGAGGGAGAGGGAGAAGCAGATTCTCCACTGAGCAGGGAGCCCGACGTAGGGCTCGATCCCAGGACCTTGAGATCATGACCTGAGCTGAAGGCAGATGCTCAACCGACTGAGCCACCCAGGCACCCATTAACACTTAAAATTTAATAAATGTTTGCTGAGTGATTACTTTGTGCAAGGCACTGTGGGGTTGGGGGAGCAAGATGGAAAGCTACTAAGAAAAATAAATACTCAGCCAAGTTGTCAAGGCTATAAAAATGCTTAAGCAACAGTTCCTGCTCTAAAGGAACTTAAGTTCACTAGGGGGATAAAACAAATAAATAACTGTTAAAACTTGGCAATGAGAATAGCCAAGAAAAGGCAGGTATAAGGCAAACATTTTTGTTGCAGTAATGAAAACAGGTTAGTACTGATATAGGAATAGATACACTGATGAAATTGAATAGTGAGCATAGAAATATACCCAAACGTAAAAATAATATTTGATAATAACCTCATTTCAAATTGGTAGGGAAAATACAGATTACTCAATAAATTATAGTGGGACAACTGGCAAGGCTTCAGGAAAATAAATTAAACTGAATCCTTACCTCACTCCTCACACAAAATTAATTCCAAAAGGATTTAAATGTAAAGACTTAAACCATAAATGTATTAGAGAAAACACAGGTGAGAGGCTTTCTAATTTTAAATACAGGCAGCCTTGTTTTATTGCACTTCACTGTATTGTGTTTTGTAAATACTGGGTTTTTTAAAAATTGAAGGTTTGTGGCAACCCTGCTTTGAGCAACTGTACCAGCACCATTTTTCCAACAGCATTTGCTCACTTCATATCTCTGTGTCACGTTTTGGTTTTTCTCATAATATTTCAACTTCTTCATTATTATTATATTTGTGATAGTAATCTGTGATCAGTGATCTTTGATGTTACTTCTGTAATTATTTTGGAGTACCATGGATCATGCCATGTGTGATGGCAAACTTAATTGATAAATGTGAGTGTGTTCTGACTACTCCACTGACCAGCCGTTCCCCCATCTCTCTCCCTCTTCTCAGGCCTCCCTATTCCCTGAGACACAATGATACTGAAATTAGTCCACCTAATAACCCTACAATGGCCCCTAAGTGTTTAAGTGAAAGAGAGAGTCAAATGTGTCTCACATTAAATCGAAAGCTAGAAATGACTAAGCTTAGTGAGGAAGGCATGTCAAAAGCCAACACAGGCTGAAAGGTAGGCCTCTTGTGCCAGTTAACCAAGTTGTGAATACAAAGGAAATGTTCCTGAAGGAAATTAAAAATGCTTTGGTAGGGAACACACAAATGATAAGAAAATGAAACATCTTATTGCCGATGTAGAGAAAGTTTGAGTGGTCTGGATAGAAGACTAAACCAGTCACATTACCTTCGGCCAAATCTTCAACTCTTTGGAGGCTGTGAGAGGTGAATATGCTGCAAAAGAAAAATTGGAAGCTAGCAGAGGTTGGTTTGTGAGGTTTAAGGAGAGAAGCCATCTCCATAACATAAAAGTCCAAGGTAAAGCGGGAAGTTATCCAGAAGATGTAGCTAATTAATGAAGGTGGCTACCCTAAACAACAGATTTTCAGTGTAGATGAAAGAGGTTTTTATTGGAAGAAGATGCCATCTAGAACTTTCATAGCTAAAGAGGAGAAGTCAATGCCTAGATTTAAAGCTTTAAAGGACAGGCTGACTCTCTTAGTAGAGGTTAATGCCGTTGGTGACA